ATAAGAATGAATAATAATAAAATAATAATAATAGCATTTGTATACCTCATGTCCCCACTCGAAAGCAAGCTCTAAGCGCTTTACACTATTTTACGATAGTACGGTACACTGAGTGTTTTTTTTTCTAAATAAAAACTAATCCAATTTAAAGACTTCAAAATTTCATAATGTTTATATTTAACTCAACAAATCTTACGATGCCAAATGCTATACGATATCTTCAAATCTTAGATGACTTAGGAGTCGGGCTGCTGGACCCTGTAAGTCCAAAGTCGGAGACATAGAGTTATCAAAAAAGAACGAAGGCGGCACCGATGAACTCGACAAGGGAAACGTCACCGCGCAGGATTCGAAGGACACACCTTTGCGCGTAAAGCCTTGGCCAACGCATCGTAAATGCTGGTTAAATGATTCTGAATTCTTGAAATAGCATTAAATAGGAAAATTAAATGCTGCCTGCAATGAAGGTAGCCGATTCCCATAACTTTATTTCCACTTTAAAAGGTTATTGAAATACTATTTATCTACTCATTTTTATTACCCTTCCCCGCCTTCCCAACATATATCTACACAAAGAAACCAACAGAACACTCACACACACACACACACACACACACACACACACACACACACACACACACACCCCCCCAACAAAACAAACGAACCTCCAGACAAAACAACGAAAAAGCCAGAATAGTCCCTCTCTGTCTTCAGAAATTTACTTCCTTCTTTTCGTAACCGTGTATTTTGACTCTTTCTCTCTACTTTTCTTTCAGCCAAGGTTATTTGACCTTGACCTTTGACGCCAGAGAAAACATGCTATACTATTTTGGGAACCACACAAAGACCATCAGTCGGATACCCATGGAGCTGGGCGGCAAAGGGATGGTTTTGACCGGTGGGACGAGCGTGGTCAACGGTAAACAAATAATGTTATGTTGGTTTAGTTTAATCTGTAAGAGGGGGGGGGGATTGTATGTTGAAAATACTCCCCCCTCCCCCCTTTTAACCACCCCTCAACAGCCTCAAGTCCCCCTCCCCCCACCTCCGTACCCAACAACTGACCCATTTAAAATATAACATTGCTTTTGTAGCTAAGTGGGGTTCTACATGGTAGGCCTATCTTGCTTCTTTTTCCTTTCCACTTTTCCTATCATTTGTGTCACGGCACGTTAGAATGAGACGCTCGTCAGCTTTTGGGCTCTCGGAGTTAGAGGCAGAATGATCTTAGAGTCTGTTCATTAATTTTTTTAGCTAAAAAGACTCATCTAAGCCTATCTTGAATAGAAATCGAGATATATGCTATTGAGCATGGCAGGGATTGCCTGATTTCAGAGATAAAATTAAGCTTACTCACTTAATGACTGACTCACTCATTCACTCCCTCCCTCACTCACTCATTCACTCATTCACTCACTCACTCACTCACTGACTCACTCCCTCCCTCACTCACTCATTCACTCATTCACTCACTCACTCACTGACTTACTCACTCACTTCCTCCCTCCCTCACTCACTCACTCATTCACTCACTCACTCACTCACTCACTCACTCACTCACTCACTCACTCACTCACTCATTCGCACACTCACTAACTCACTCATTCACTCACTTACTCACTCACTGACTCACTGACTCACCCACTCACTCATTCACTCACTTACTCACTCATTGACTCACTGACTGATTATCTGATTATTGTTTTTTGTGTTATTATAATGATGATGATGATGATGATGATGATGATGATGATGATGATGATGATGATGATGATGATGATGATGATGATGATTATCATTAACTCTATTAACACAATGACCTCAATCTCATCTCTTCTCACCTGGGACAGGCATGGCCCTAGATTGGGTGGCTGGCAACCTGTACTGGACGGAGACGGACAAAGGGATCATTAAAGTCTCCACCAAAACAGGGGCTTTCCAGCGCGTGCTGATAAAGGATCTGATCAATCCTTTTGGCATTGTCGTGCACCCTGGGCGTGGGTGAGTGCTTTTGCTGCTTAAGTCTGATTGACACCAGTTCGACGGGTCGAATCGAATTGGCTTGATCGGATCTGAAGACAATCCATACACTGGTAAAAAACCGCGTCAGACGTATTTTTTCTGAAGGAAAGAATTATTTTTTTCTGTTTTTCTCTATCTCTGTATCTGTTTTTTTTG